AATGATATGCGGTCTACGCAAAGAGAGAATTGACATGCGGTCTACGCAAGTAAAGAATTGACATGCGGTCTACGCAAGTAAAGAATTGACATGCGGTCTACGCAAGTAAAGAATTGACATGCGGTCTACGCAAGTAAAGAATTGACATGCGGTCTACGCAAGTAAAGAATTGACATGCGGTCTACGCAAGTAAAGAATTGACATGCGGTCTACGCAAGTAAAGAATTGACATGCGGTCTACGCAAGTAAAGAATTATCATGCGGTCTACGCAAGGAAAGAAATAACATGCGGTCTACGCAAGGAAAGAAATAACATGCGGTCTACGCAAGTAAAGAATTAAGATGCGGTCTACGCAATCAAAACATGCGTGACAATGCAAAATGCAATGAGATGCGCAAAACAGCGCGACGGAATGCAATGCACAAAACAGTGCGACGATTTGAAATGCACAAAACAGTGCGACGATTTGAAATGCACAAAACAGTGCGACGATTTGAAATGCACAAAATAGTGCGATGATTTGAAATGCACAAAACAGTGCGATGCGCAGAACAGCGCGAACAATTCTGAAATGCACAAAACAGTGCGATGCGCAGAACAGCGCGAACAATTTTGGAAATGCACAAAACAGTGCGATGCCAAGTGTGACATGCATGCCACACAGAGTGTAAATGGGCTTGAATGCGCAACAACGCACGTATTCCAGAATGCATGACAATGCATGGAATGGAAATGCAATGATGATGCATGGGAGATGTGCACGACAATGCAAAGGGGTGCGTGTTGCAACGCATGTAACACGTGCATAACAATGCAAATGTGTGGCGCACGACAGCGCGATGTAATGCATCGAAGTAGTGTGATGAACTTGTGCAACACACATGGGGTAACTTTTGAATTCAAAAGGATACAAAAAAGATACACCCTGTACGAATTCGAGTGCCACGCACTGGAGACACGGCCCGCGGTCAAAACGGAGGCCGGTTGAATGTCGGAGATGCATTTTCTTGCACTTTCTTGGGCTATAAAGACCAAAAACAACTCAAATGGCCTGAACAAAGCTGTGGGAACCCCCACCGGCCGAAAGATGAGGCCACCGGCTGGCCATCGGCACAAAAACAATTCCATCGGCACAAAAAAGTGCCGGCCGACACAATGTTTTACCACAAGTATA